CAATGACTGTAGTCTTGGTGTATTTTGTTTAATGACTTCGAATTCTTTACCATAATTCTTTTCATAATCCAAAAGCCAGGCATCCGTATATCTCCATCTGTTGTATGAAGTTTGTTCCTCCTTAAGGCAATCAGATCTCCACGTATCTTGTAGTATTTCTAATACTCTAATACTCTGCTATATGCCTTAGTTTTCAATAAGCGATCCATTTCTAAGTCGATCGACAGAACTCTTTTGAGAATCATTGTTACTATGTTACCGTTGTATACATTCTTGTAATGTAAAGCTTCCGAAGATTTTTAATGAAAGCGCTAAAGCTTTACGGAGGATTCTTGTGTTTTCTTTATATATATATATATATTAGGGATGTCAAATCGGTCAAATTTTGATAATCGGTTACTCGGACGTTTTTCCGATCGAGTACCCGGGTACCCGGTAAAAATGTAAATACAACTGTGTTACTTCTCTTGACCCCCGTTAACCCCCAAAGCTGTTTTTATCACGTTTATAAATATCTATAAACATTGATTCCAACGTAAATGGTTTTTGGTACTAATTTTGTTTATCAAATAAACACAAAAGGCACAATTAATGAATCAAAAATTACAAATGGTTTACAGTTTTTGTTTAGGATCTATTTCATCAAAAGGAAGACAATCTGTTACGCAGGTTTGTTATGATTAGACTAGCCAAAGATGAAGGAACGGACGTTGTTGGAATCGCTAGTCTAATATTATAGTAAGTTTAGTGTAAACGGGGGAAAATATTTCATATGTTGATTGTTTCCCCCGTAGACACTAAACTTACTACGCAAACTGACTTTCAACTGTTTTTAATCTTTAGTTATTTCTAAATATTTCTTCACTTTTGAAGTGGATAGCGGCATTTCTATGCATGTCCGATTTCGCTGCGGTATACATGTATTATCTAAATAATTTAAAAATGATTTGAAGATAATAGACCATCTATGTTCACTAAAAATAATCATTGAAGCCATTCAAAAATTAAGGACCACAATAGGTGAAAATAGCTGGCTGATTGGTCTCTAATTGCTGTATATTCACAGCCACAGGCGATAATGAGTGTTTTACACGTGTAGAAAACTACACGCTATAATTACCGTATGCATATTTAAGTTAGTTTTTGATAGGTTTTTAATAAAAGTAAGTACTTTGAAATAAGAAAAAATACACATCCGAGTAACCGAATACCATTTTTAGTATTCGATACTCGGACGTTCGATCGAGTACCCGGTTAACCGGGTACTCGTTGACATCCCTAATATATATATATATATATATATATATATATATATATATATATATATATATATATATATATATATATATATATATATATATATATATATATATATATATATATATAATTGATTTCAATAAACAATTCTTTGCACGGAAACATCCCTAATATATATATATATATATATATATATATGTATATATATATATTTATATATATATATATATATATATATATATATATATATATATATATATATATATATATATATATATATATATATATATATATATAAAATTGATTTCAATAAACAATTCTTTGCATGGAAACACTTCATTTAGGACCCTGCGTAGCAGATGTAAATTTTGATATCCGGAGCTTTAAGAAGTTCCCTTGAATAGAAAACATGGAAAAACTCCAATAATTACCATATTCTATAGGACAAGGGCATGCATAAATGTTTTTGCAAGTAATGGAAGGAAAGATGGATATATGTGTCTCTTAGTTATTGACAGCCATTTCTAAATTTAATATCATTAAAGGGTGCAACTGCAGCGCTTAATGATATACTAGTGTGTATCATGAACCGTCGAATATGTAGATATTTGCTTGTTTCATTAAGCGTCGGTGTTGCTCTGCATTTTTGACGCTTAATGATATAATTCTATCATTAAGCGGCAATTTAGCATTAGCAGTTGAGAACGTCAACTATTAATGCAATACTTTATGGCATTAAGCGTTGCAATTGCAACGCTTAATGATATTTGTATCATTAAGCGGAGTTTTATCATCAGAGGTTGCTACAGAGTTTTCACCTGATATAAAACCTTGTGGTCAGTACGTGTTTTTATTACTGTGTATTGTGTTCTTCAATGAAAGATATTTCCTTCATTTAAGATCTATTACAAATCCACTTTATGACAAGGAGCACACGGCAGGTGTGAATGGTCGGCAAGTGATGCTCACTTCTCCATGGCACCGGATCCCACCTCCGATGTTTTGCAGGTCCGTGTTTGCTCTGTTCCTGATTTGTATTGTTTCAATGGACTTTTGAGAATGAATACTGTCCGTTATCCTAATATATTTCATTTCGAAACACAGTCAATTTCCTGCTTTTTACTTATCCCAACTCTGCTGTTTCCAGGAGTCTGTGTTTTCTTATGTTCACTATTCATTTTCTCTACTGCATTTATGAGGTTGATCACTGTTCGTTATCTTCACTTTTAACATTTACAGCAAAAAATGAAAAATAAAAAATATTTACATTTTTTAACACAAATAATACACAAGTTTTACAAATTACAAAGTCTAACTACATTATGTCACAAAATGACACACTAGAGCCTAATTTGTGATACATTATTTCAACAGTGAACAAGATGTTTTTGTGAAACACTGATGCCCCCGTATGGCAGCTTATGGTGAAGATTGAAGTTTATCAAATGCAAGTCAAACTCCAAGGTCCAGAGATAAAAAATGCTGTTAACAGAGAGAGAGAGAGAGAGAGAGAGAGAGAGATCCTACATGTAGCACGTAACTGTGAAATATGAAAGCCCTAGCCCCAACAGTTGAAAAGGTTCAAGTTTTTTTGAAAATTAAGACAAACGTCAAAATCAAGGTCAAATGGCCAAAATTAATGGCGCCCAAGGGAAGGTCTTGTTAGAAGAAATACATCTGTGAAATATGAATGCCCTAACACCATCCATTCAAAGGTTATGGAAAAGATTAAAGTTTTTCAATAGTAGGTCAAACTCCAAGGTCAAGGTCAAAGGATCATAATTATTAGTACCCAGGGAAAGGCCTGATACAAGGAATACAAATATGACAGAGAACCCAGCATTACACAGATAATACTGACCAATCCCATTGATTGTTTAGAAATACATTTGTAGTAAGCAGCAATATGTGGTCAATCAAAATTCCTTGCTGGATTCTCTGTTCAGATGCAAAGTAGTATTCATTTCATTGAAATCAACCATTCAGTCGATGAGAAATTTGGTGATTAACATTTGAAACTTCAACACACTCGATAAAAAAAGTGACACGCCGTTATTAGAATGATAGTAACCATTCAAAGTTATTGCCAAGGTTCAAGTTTTTAAACGTATGCCAAACTACAAAGTCAAAAAGTTAATATTTATACGAAAGGAAAGGTCCTATCACAAAAAAAAAAAAAAATATGTGAAGTAACCCTAGCACCAATTGTTCAAAAGATATGACCAAGGTTAAAGTTTGGTAAAATTTTCAAAAGTGGGTCAAACTCTAAGATTCAAAGGTCAAATATGTTGATATCTAAAGAAAGGTCTTGGCACAAGGAATACACATGTTAAAAATGAAAACTATAGTTTCAACCCATCAAAAGTTTTTGGGGAGAAACAGACAAACAGACAGATAGATATACAGACAAGACAAAATCTATATTCCCCCGAAACTTCGATTGCAGAGGCATAAAATTATTATTGATTACACAGTGTATCTTATACTACATTGTTAAAATCACTACATACTACAAAGTTTTTGATTTAGACTACATTATTGTATTTTGTCAGTGACTCTAGACAGAGTCCTATTCGTACTACATTTAATGAATGACCCTCTTGCAAATTCCGTTATGCATAAGGTATCCCACGTTTCCAGCTATCGTTGATGTCCATGGCATACCCAACAATTTAGACAGTCAGTCACACCTTGGTTTGAACTCACGACCTTTCGTCGCTGGAGCGAGCGCTATATCGCCTGAGCTACCGTAATGGTAAAATGCTTTTTCAATAGTTTAAACAGTTTAAAGAAAGGGAAATGAAAAATAATGCAATATAGCAAACTATATAAATACGTATTTGAAATTCATTCACAAGAAAATCTCGTATCTCGTATCAATAATTAATGGAAACATTAAAAAAAAAAACGTCCACAAGTGTTGTGACGTGATAAATACCTACCCGCTGAGGTGAAGCTGACGAACGCTTAGTTTACCGTTACTGGTAACTTTGTATTTAGTAATGATCACCAATAACTATAAAATGGTTCGTACAGGTAACACTGATATACATATAATGGAATGCTACCTAATCTCGTTTTTAAACTTTTGATCATGATGATTATAAACACCTCAAAATTAATTATACTCAGTAATATAGATTTCTAGAGTATATCTCATCTTACCTAAACATAAAACGATTAATGTTACTGAGTGAAAAGTAAATGATATAATGAAGGCAACATTCTTGTTTGTATTGAAACTTTAAGCAGAACACGATTCGTAAAAGGGATTTTTACCATATTCTTTTATTCAGTCGTTTTATCTGAGGGCCCCTATATAAGCCGTTCACTTAGGCACTGTACAGTGTAATCAGTTGTCACTTGTGTAGAAGAACGTATGCTACATAGCTATTGTAGATCACTCCGTGGCGATAAAAATTTCTGTTTAATTCTTCCACGGTAGGAGAGAAAGAAAACTTTCAACTGTTGCACTGGTGAGTGTGGTATACAAACAACGCATATACACGTCAACTACTATACCAAAGGTAATGTACAATAACCAGCATGAACACGGGTCGTCATTCTACGCTGGTAACCGTGAAGATAAGACAGTCAGGTGTAACGAATGCAAAGGGTATACGCAAGTGCTGATATCGAAGATAGTGAATCCGACATTGTATGGCGTAAGCTATTTACGAATCGTGTTCAGCTTTAAATAACAATTTCATTATAAATATTTCAGGATTGATTTTACATTAACTCTATTGTTTGTATCTCAACATCATCACAGTCTGTTTTAATGCTTCCCATCCGGTCCAGTGACTCCATATCGGGTATCTACCATCTGACAAAGCAGACTGTGCGTACATTCCGTTGAGGTTTGAGTAAGCACAGTTATCGTACCACCAGGCTCCGTGCCGTTGTTTAGCACAGCTACCAGACCCCCTGCCATTGTCCTGGTCCTTGGTACTGAATTTCATTCCATTGTGATAAGCCAAACTGTCACCTGAAAAAGAGTATAAATGACAATAAAGTCTAATAATTATTTACGAAATATTTATCGTTACAAAGTAACCTTCACTGTAGTTGTCATTATTGAGCTCTTAACTGGTAAAAGTTATATCATGTAATGAGTCAACCTGTGGCCTGTTACAAGATATTGATACCTAAATTATATTTTTAGAATGACAGCAAGGAATAGCATCTAAAATAAAACACGATGTATTTACCGTCTATACATTACTTCGAAACTCAAAGAAATGAGACTGAATATGATTACCGGAGCAAGTTATTTGTTATAAATGGAGAGAGGGAGATGTTACTACCTCTGTGACATTCCGAAAACTGTTTTATATTTCAAAGACAAAATTTTAATTAAAAAAAAAATAGTGAATTAGAATTGGACATTGGGTATGCATGGGTATGTAAAAAAAAATCCCGACGTGTAAGTTCTCAATTTGTTCGCTTGAAAATTGTATATCTGCATCCCTACAGTTGTAATTTGTTCGACTTAAAACTCTTATCACGAACATTGTAGTGATAACGGATCAATTCTTTGAAAATCTTCTTCTCTTCTTCTTGATATTACGTAAACAAACTTAGTTCATAGTTATGAGAAGCAAGGATGCCTCTTTCAAAATTGTGAGTTTCATTGCCCCTTGGCCAGATGTTATAGTTTAGGGGTAGGACTGTATTGATTATATAGTAAAAATGCATTAATTCTTTTTAAATTTTCTTGTCTGTTCCTGTGTATTGAGCAGATTAACAAAGTGTACAGTTATGATTAGCAAGTTTGTGTCTTCTTAAATTTTTAAAACGCATGCTCCCAAGGGTTAGAGGTTCTGGTATTTCTGGGGAGGGGGGATTTATTGATAAAATAGTGAAAATCTATTATATCTTTATTTCTTTGAAAAAATTCAACTAAGTGCATATATCCATGAAGATCGCAGGAATTTTTTTTCCAAAGTTTCGAATTGCATGACATTGGGTTTTAGATTCTGGGAGGCTGTGAGGAATGTATAGTGAAATTGCATTATTTCTTAGAAAATCTTCTCTGCTCCTGGGTATCTTGGAGGCAAGCAAAGTAAACATTTTAATAAGCAATGATGTTGGCCAGGTTTCTATTACTTTGTATTCTACTGAGAGAAGTTATTTCCCTTTGCCATTCACCTTTGATACTTAATTACTGCAAATAATGTGTTTGAAAGTTTTATAGATTAAGAGAACTATGCAAGATTATATATGGGTATAATACAAGAAAGCACTTTCATAGTTTTAATGATCAAGTACACTTGTAAATAATAGATAAAAGATAAGACAAAAAAACTTACAAGAAATTCTTCAAAGACCAAGAGAGGCTAATGTGAGAGGTAATAATGTGGGACTGCAAATAAGATTTATTGTTTTGTCAATAGGCAACATGATGATAGTGATTAATAGGGACAAGCAGAATTTAATTTTTGAGTTCTTTCTGAATACTAGATTAATGATTTCGCTTGTCCTGACCATCTTATATCCCTTGCTTTTGGGCAAAAAAAAGCTTCATCCATCAGATTATTTGATACTCTATGGATCCTCTAAATTGCTGTATTATTCTCAGGTGACCGTTAAGACCCTTGTCCATCTTGTTTCACTTTGCTTGTCAGATTTTTTTCTGGGAGGTTAATTATACCCCACCCAACCCTAGCCCCGCACTTTTGAAACCGTTGCTATGGACGTGTACAATGCCTTGATCAACTTTTATACTTTGATCACACCACTAACCAGCTGTTCCGTTGTATCCAGATACTGTAAGGATATATTTACTGTCTTCATCTCCGATGTAAAATGTGGTATACACAGCATAGGCCTGTTCTCCGTTATGTCTCTGGAGATCAACTCGGAGTTCCTGGTTTTTATCCATTGTTAAGGTGTGGATTGCGTCATTTCCTATACATACATACATACATATATATATATATATATATATATATATATATATATATATATATATATATATATATATATATATATATATATATATATATATATATATATATATATATATATATATATATATATATATATATATATATAACCATACCTATCCAATAATTTTTAGTGGCATTCCCAAATCCGTTTTTATACTCTATCCATGTCCTGTAAAAATCGACGTCACCATCCTTTCGTTTCTGAATGACCTGTAAACAACACTAGATATTTTATTATATTGTTTCATGTAAAAATAAACACCAACCACTTTTTTACATTCTTCTCAATTATATGTAAAGTTTCAAGCTAGAATATATATCAGTGTGTACTATTTGGTGATATAGCAGCGGTATGAAACAAAATCGAATAATATAGAATTATTTGAACATCTATAATTGTCATTGTGTAAAAGGGTTTAGAAACCAAATACAAATCACAATTTTGTGGGTAGTTTTTTTTTGTTTTGACTCTGCATGTGAGTACAGTTAATTCCACATTGAAATTCTTCTGTTCTTTGTTATATTATATTAGTGTTCGTGCGTTGATGTTTGGTAAATGCTATGGTCAAGATTTATGGCATTGTTTCGATTGTCATTCCTTTTTCAGGTTCTTATATTGCGGGACAGCTTCACGTTACGCAGCCATAATGTCATCATGATAAAGTTTTGTTAAACTTGTTTTCAGGATAAGCTATATCATCTGTAGCTGTCTTAGATTTTCTACAGTTAAAGTTTAAATAGATAATAAAAGGATTTTTTTTGCGTATTCGTTAATCTTTCAAAAACTTAAACACTACCCACCGTCCACCCTCCTTCATCAGTCGTCATGTCACAGAAGACTTCTCTCCGAGTGTCAGGGTAAATAACATACACTCCATTTTGTCCTTTCTTGCTTGGGTCTCTTTTCACAATATCTGAACAATCTTTATATATTTTTTCTATTCAATGTAAAAAATGTAAAAGAAATTGAATAATTAATTTCATTAAACTTGCTATTCGTATCACATATAATTCAATGGAGATTGACAGGTTTTATTTAGTGTTTGTTTATTTATAAACGAAAGCCCTTTAAACCGAAATATTTTCTTTTTAGACCCTTTCAGCAACCGAAGGTTAAGAAGTTGCAATCTGGAGAGTAAAATATCTAGTCATCAGTCATGGTAAATTAAAATGTTAAATAAGAATTAATTGGAAGTCTATCATGATTAATAATTTTGGTTAAAAAGAAAATTAACATTATCTGGAGAATTTTAGGTTATAATTTCATTGACATTGACAAAATCTATGAAGATAACAATTATTTTGGAAATCTTGATGAGTCTTTACGTGGTACAAATACATATACATCAACCAGTGTTAAAATGTGTATGGAATAACACCGATTGGATTAAACGGAATGCAGTGGTTAGTCATGTCAAGCGTTACAGACATGTGACTAATGTTTAATTGAGGAATGTTTTTAAGTTTTGTATGAGTTATAGGTGTGTAAATCACACAAACTTGTCCCGTAAAAAATGAGCCTACGAGCAAGTCTGTGTGATTTTACACTAATAATTCACACTAAACTTAAAAACATTAATTATGTTTACATTTTACATGTTCAAAAATATACTCAATGTTTGAATTATTCGCTGCCCTATATCGTGACATTGTATTAACGTCTCTGTAGCTCATTGTGACGTCACTTTAGCGCAAGTTTCTCAGTGCATATTTCTACGCGTGAGTATACACGAAAATGACTTTCAAATCAATTTCACAGTTGTCTTAGTACAAAAACACAGCAAATGTAAGGATTATTAGATATTTATTTTCCAGCTCCTCTATATTTTTCGAAAACCGATTGTTGTTTAGTAATAATATTCGGTTTTTAAAGTACATGAAATATGCATAATATGTTTCAAAGCAAGTGTCGAAGTAAAATCTTTTTCAAGGCTTTTGTATCAAGGTGATAAACAAATTGATATCCATTGTTAGGCGCTTTCATCCATTTTATATGAATAATTTATACCGATATAAATATAAACCAGAAAATGTAATCCCTCTCTTATTTATATAGGAAAACGATTGCATTGAGTAATGATTGCAGAAAAATACACATACGCTAACGTTGATTATGTACTTTTTCTGCATTGTCGTAACCTAAATTCCTGTATAAACAAAGTATTTCATTGTTTAAATTTGAGAGCTTAATGCTTTTACACTGTATAAAAAACTAAGTAAATTTTTATTTTCTTGATTAATTTGGTAGATTAAGTATTTTGTAAAAATGAAATGGGAAATTTGAAAACAAGAATTATGTAAATAAAAGCTTGCATTCTTTAACACAAGCAAACACATTATCATCTTAGCTCCAAATCTTTTTTTAAAGATTTTCGTACGAAGGAATATCGATTTTAATTACAGACTGGCTTAAGAGGTATGTTTCGTAAAAGACAATTACTTTGAAATATGTAATTAAATAGTCTCAAATACATTAATAATTTTGTCAATTACTTGCAATTAAAATTACATGTACAATTGAATTTTACAAATGTAATTATTTAATCTCAATTACTTTGAAGAATGTAATTGAATACATTTCAATTACTTCAGTTTGATTTTACAAATTCTTGAAGAACAAATATCTGAAATTTTAAAATTTTGATTTTTGTAAATTTTAGGAAGGGGTATATATATAGCTAAAATAAATAACATCCGGTGCCTGTGTTTGTGTATTTCATCAACACAAGACCTATTTTTATGTATGATGTTTCGTAAAAGAAGGAAACAGGATAATTTCTTTCCAATTATTATTTTATTTTCCATTTTTATTGATTTTAAATTTGAATGTTTTGATTTTTAAGTTATAAGCATGTTTATAGAAATATACAGATAAAACAATCAGTCATTACCTTCAGAAATATGATTATTAGACAATTTCGATACTCTCAAATCGAAAAGCTTTTTACTGCATAGTTTGACAGCATCCTCCATTCTTTCTAAATGCCAAAAAAATCTAATCGGGGAGATACTAATGTCCAATAATCGTTATAAACATAAAAAGATTTGTATTAAATAAAACATCGTAAAATTAATTGATTGAATGTTTTTCAACGTCCCTTTCGAGAACGTTTCACTTATATAGAGATGGCACCCGCTTTAGGTGAAGTTCCACAAATATTGTCCTATGCATGATGATTACGACCGAAACAGTGGATGAACTCCATCGTACCAACGCCCTCTGTGACAGGGAACCTCGGATTTTAAGGTTTAAACCAAGGACCCCTGACTTTCAACTTCTAGTGCCGGGTGCTTGGCGAAGGAATAGCACTACGTGTGTTAATTGTCTTAGGTTTGACGCGGCGCCGTTAATGCGAATCGGACTCCAATAAACTTTGATTTGAATCCTACCCAAAGTGCTATTTTATAATCATCACCTATAGAAATGTGTTAAGCATCTTACATATTACCTTTTAAAACAGGCACACAGTTACCCCGAAGACAAATGGCATCTTCGGTACAGGCATGTTTTGGACAATCGGCCGCCAGGTGCTGAAAGTCATTCAACTTAGAGTGATAACTCGTTTATTTGATCGAAATGTTTCATAACTAAGTGCTTCAATATTTGTTCTTAAAGTCCGATATATTGCTTACCTTCGGAAAACTTTCTCGGTCAACATGAATGGTGCGACCTTCGGTCATTATTCCACTGACATTTTTGATTTTAAATCTTGTGTTTAGCCTACATATCTTTTTTTCGCGTATCCAATCCACTGAGCGACACAACTCAAACTTGTTACAAACCATCATGCACATTCCCATTTCAGCATTGGTCAAAAGGCTAAAACCAGGTACTGGGGAATTTTCATAATTGCTAATGATTAAAGTTTTTGGGTCGAAGCACTGAGAATAGCATGTCTGTAATAGAGCCAGAATTTGTCCAATGAAGTACACACTAATCACCTTAGGACCCGCCGCTAATTCCATTTCAACATTTTTTTTTGCAACGATTTAGCAGTCAGATTTCATTGTCGATGGGTGCTTCTAGAATAATCAACTGTTTGATTTTTCTACACTCCTGTATCATATATATTTATTGCTAAGGTCTGTTAATTTATGGCTGATGAGGCGTCACTTGATAGTATCATTTGTGTTATTAAATGAATTGTTAAGTATGCAAAAGATTACTGTCGATTTTAAATTTTATAGTTGTTTATATTTGAAACTTTTGTCTCATTTCATATAGTAATAATAATAAAAATAATAATAATGAATACTCTCAAGACCGTACCGCCACTAAATATGATACGAAAATGTAAAAAAAAAAAAAAGGTGAAGAATGGACCTCTCATATCTGACTGATGTGTATTGAAATATACTGATGTAATATATGTGATTGACCAAAGTATATATGTACTGGAAAAATTTACTTCTTTTGTAATATCAAGTAAATTCATTTTACCTCTAAGGCTAAACTTTACAACATGGCTTTCACAAACAATTTATTATGATTTTTAGCTCACCTGAGCTGAAAGCTCAAGTAAGCTTTTCTGAACACCTGTTGTCTGTCGTCCATCCATCTGTCTGTCCGTCCGTCCGTCTGTAAACTTTTCAAATTGTCAACTCCTTCTCAAGAACCACTGAGCCAATTTTTATCAAAGACGGTACAAGGCATCCTTGGGTAAAAGGGAGTTTAGGTTGATAAAATGAAGAGCCAAGTCCCCTTACAAGGGGAGATAATTAAAAAAATGTAGGGTCATTAAAAAATCTTCTTCTCAAGAAACACTGGAAAAGAAAAGCTGAAACTTATGTGAAATCATCATTGGGTAGTGTAGATTCTATGAAATATGTGGAGATAACGAACATTATTCAAGCCCAAAAGTCCATTAAACATTAAAAATAGGAGCAGAGCAAACACAGACCTCTATACTATAAGTATGAAAAACATCAGTCAGCATTTGACTCAATGATAAATTGTATTTGCTGACAAGGTCATTGTATCGACCATAGAACTTACGAAATGATGACTTTAAACGAGACTGCTGATATTCTTGTTTCATCAACTTGTTTGTCTCAATAACTTGCCTCGATTTAGAAATTGTTCATACGTAGAGCATGCTCTGACGTATCGAATCAACTGATATAAATTCCGTATTCAGGTGATAAGGGTATAATGCTGCATAACTAAGAGAAGTTGACGATTGAAAAGTTAAAGTCATCACGTTTATCATAAAGATTTGTTGTCAGGTTACCATTAACTTTTTTCTTATAAAGTATCCAAATATGAAACAAATGTGTCAGACACTCGTATATCTTTTATCTCAAGCTCATCGGGATATATCGTGTCGACATAAGAAAAGAAATGACCATTGTTAATTGACAATACGTCGTTGATATATCTAAATGTCGAGTTGAAGGCCACAGCAAGCGTTTTCTTCTTTTTACGTAAAAGATTTTGAACAAATTTTGCTTCATATGAATAGAAAAATATCTGTAAATAACGGGGCGCAATTGGTACCCATGAGAATCCCAATAGATTGTTGGATGACCTGGTCTCCAAAAAAACCACATAGATATTGTCAATCAGAAACTCGAGCATCATTTTAATGTCAACTTCAGAGTACTTGTGTGTACAATCAGATTGTTTTTAACAAAGTAATTTTGAAAATGACCAGTGAAAAGGTAAGTAAATTTAGGAGTTCCATTTTTATTGAAAAAGAAGCTGTCAACGATGTCAGAAATCTGGACTTTAATTTATCATGGGGAATAGTTGTACATATAGTTGAAAAGTCGTAAGTTCTTGTATTGTTGATTTAGGTAAAATCTTGTAATTCTAAACGTTCCAAACGTTCCTTGTAATTTTTTAGTATCCTCATCTGATTTACACCACTTCTCGAATATATTGTTGCACAGTACTCTTGAAGTTTCTCCTTTACTACAGTTAATATCTTAGTGAGGA